AACACCAAAGTTGCACAGGTCCTTGGTACACCATAATGAGGAGGGAGCTTCTAAAAGGCTCTTCAACTAATGGAGTAACTCTTCTAAACTACAGGAAAAGATTTTTAAGGATACTGTCCTTAGCAAAACCTGCTGCTAGAGGGACATGATTTGCCAGCAGTATTCAGGGATATCTTCTGAATGCAAAGCAGTGGAAAAACTCAGGTTAAGGGGACCAGAGTTTGCAGGGAAACTTGTTGCTGCCATGGAGGTCCCTTTCACTCCTGTCTGTCTGAGCATCTCCTGGTTCCCCTTCACCCTGACCAGATTTCTTCTCTACCCTCCTTTTGCTTCTTCCTCCTTCCTGTTTACAACCCTTTCCCACTTTTCCTACTGAACATGTTCACACATCCGCAGCCACCTCACCACCTCTCCTTTTCTCCTCACCTCCCTTCCACCTTGCTCCTCTCCTCACTGCTCAGCCTCTTCCATCCTCCTCCTTGAATTTGCCCAGCCCCAATTTTTTTTGCTTTACCCTTTAAGGGGACTCATATTTTTTTCAGATCTCCAAACTTGGCTTGGTTTCCACAAGTGCTTATGAAGGAAAATACAAAGGACAATAGTCCAAACCAAACTTGAGGTTCATGGCATGAAAACACAGAGGTTCTAGAGTTTTTCACCAAAAAAAAGCTGAAATAAATTTTTCAACATGGAAAATGATACATTTTTTTCTCTATACTCTGTCACAGGAAGAGTGAAAAAAATTTTTTTTGAAACTTTCCTCAAAAAGAAAGAAAAAAAAAATAGCCTGAGGCAGACATGCAGCATGGAAAATGTTAGTTTAAATGGTTAACATACAGACAGACTTTGAGCAACTGAAGACAGGGTTTTAAGGGAAACTATCAGGCAACCTTATCTATAGGTGCTGCTACCTGCTGTGCCTCTAATTACACCTTTTAGCAATCCTCACCACTGCTGAGCAGGGAGGAAAAAAGGCAAGGAAATAATTTTTCATGGGATTTTAATGCTCTGGAATACTTTAATGCATAACAGTGACTAGTGGTCACCACCTACTCCACACAGAAAAAGATCTCTGAGTGCTTTTTTTTTAAGGCTCTGGATGACAAGACAACAGTGGTGGCCACTGAAGGAAGTGAACTCGGTCTCTTTGCCACGTTGTAGGGGGTGGCAGAGGGTGCAGCCCGGACACACGGTGCCCACAGGGACTTGTGTCTGGCTCCCATCCCCTCTGTGCCCCAACAGCCCTAAGACATTACTACGCTTTGCACATATGAAATATCACGAGGATTAGGTTGTAGGGGGGTAACCTCCACAGCTGGGCTGGCGGTGCGGGGGCAGCACACAGAGACCCCCACTTTGGGGGTCTCCCTGAGGTGCCTCCTCCCCAGCAGATGCATCAGGGGATGTCAGGAGGGGAATCTCCATGGTCAGCAGAGGAGTCTGTGTGTAGCTGTGTGTGCACATGCACGTATGTGAGTGCTGTGGGATCACAGAACAGTGACAGAAGTTTGTAGGAATTCAGTAAGATTCTGTAAATGGCTAGTGTTACGTTACTGGTACCAAACATATCATCCACTGATTATCTTCTAATTACATGTTGTTAATAAATGCCTAAAACCGCTTCAATTCAGATTGTGATTTACACTAGGTGAACTGAGAGGTTTTTATCCTGCAAAAAGCATCAGGAGGGTCCTTTTCTAGTATGATACCTCCAGACCCCATTGTCCCCTTGGGGTGCAGCACATGGCACAAGACCTAACTGGATGCTGCTGGCAGCTCGTATCTGTAAGGGTTAATTCTCTGCAAACCCATACGGTTTTCAATGCTGCAGAAAGGGTTTGATTTAACACAAAACTGTGCAAGTAAAAAATAGGAGAGAGGAGGCAGGACAGAGTAGAAATGAGCAGCACACTGGGAGGCAGAAAAGGAGATCTGAGACTCTCCTGAAGGAAGGTGCAACAGAGAACGTCAGGACGAATGACACCACAGAGAAGGACGTGCAGCGGCAGAGGAGAAGATGACCGTATGGGTTAGAAATACTAACAGACAAGGAGGGAGAGATGAAGCAGAGCTGCTGAAACTGGCACTAAAAGTACCATCAGAAAAATGGGAAGAGCCAGAAAAAATTGGGAAAAAAAAAAAAAAAAGAAAGAAAAAAGAGGGGAAACAGGAGAGGAGATAGTGGTTTCCTGTGCTGGAGGGAAGAGAGAATTCAAACCGAACATGAAGTATTTGCTTGAACTGCCTACAAAGCAGCTGTCAGGAGGACAGGCTTGACAGAGAGAGAGAGGGACGTGGACTGTTAAGGTTCCTGGGAAGGATCAGGGGAAGTAGAAAGCCACCCAAGCAAAACACCTGGAGTCAAGATTAGAGGGATAGAGGTGGCCTGAGAAGGTTTTGCAATAAAATTAAAAATTAAACTGTTATAGTCAAACCTGGAAAGAGGAGGAAAATTCAGCATAAGGAAAATAAATCTGGGAATAACAAGGAAAAAAAACCTTTCTCTAGATCCTGTTTCTGGCATTTTTCCCCTAAGTACCTGTATCTAGAAAGACAGGAGAGGTCTGAACTGAAGTCTAATGTAATTTTCATCTATTTTAGCATTGAAAGTATCTCTGTTCAGGAAAGTGCCTAAGTCTCATCTGAGTGAAAAGGACTTGGAAACAGGCTAATGCAAAATATAACTAAGTGTTCCCAAACCACATCCCTGGATCATCGACATGGGCTTGGATTTAGCCCCAAAGCAGCAACAACACAGAGAGTATGGGACAAATGGTGCTGATGCTACCTGTGGATTGACTTTGTTTCTGAAAACAATCAATGTTTATGTAAAAGTTGAAAGCTGTGGCTTTAGATTATTCCAGATCTGCATTTCTCTTTCAGCTGGTAGAGGATCACCAACCAATTCAATCTGACAGCAATGTGTACATTTGGCATCTGTGTACATTCATTTGTTTTCAGCACGAAAGCTGACCACTGAAGAGAATTAGTCTGTGCACATATGAAACTTATTTAATCAGTTAATTGATGCAGTATTATTGCATATTATTATTTATATTGTTTTATATTAAAGAAAGAAAAACACACTCCAGCAAGAGCTGACAAAAGATGACTACCTAGAGTGGATTGTTGCCTGTTATTCTTCTACGGGATTTACTCAAATTAACTTGAACATTTATATCAAAAGAATTAGTGATAGTAAAATGGGTACAACTGATGAGGAAAAAAAAACTGAAAGAAGGCTTAATCCCTTCTTTTTCTTTAGCTGCACATTAATAGGTGCTGCAAGGCTGGTTCATGATCTCCGCCAATAACAGCACAAAGGCGATACTGTCAGGGCAGCTCAGTGAGGCCTAGAGCTCGTGGGCTGAAATCCCTACAGCACGTTAAAGACTGGAATTCAGTTGACCTAGTGAAGTTCCAGTTTTACAAGATCAGGAGGTGCTTCCCATAGAGGAGACTCTTGGCCAACTAGCACCTTTGAAAAGAAAACAAACGGGAAAAATTCTGGATGAGCTTAAGGTCAGGTGCAGCTCAAAAGCTCCAAAATGAAAATACAGACCAAAATTTTCCTTTTTTCCCCCCCCTCCTCAGACCAAATAGTGAAAAGTTCTGCTTTCATTCCTCACTTCTTGGCATAATGGCACAAGGTCCTAACATTAGGTCATTGTATGAAGTGTAACAAAACTTCTCAAACCATCATTTTGAGGCTTAAAACAAAACCCAGATCAACTGTGAGCTCATTTCCTACTGTCCAAGCCTGTCAAAAGGGCACAGTCCACACTCAGGTACTGAAGGAATGGGAGAAGAACCAAAGATTTACGGACAACAAGATGCTACTAAACATCAGACTGACCTCACTGTAGTCATACCCAATAATACAGTCACCAATATATCGAAAACAGACATGGAAGTTGAAGAAAAAAGGTCTTCCAGTTGTAGAGACCCTTTCATTATACAATTAGGTACACAAGAGATGTTATAAGATGTATAAATACCCTGTAGTCCCATAAGCCCTAAAGGAAGGTTATCTGTCAGTACCCTCCCTTTCCGCCTCAAGCAATACCTCATTTCAGGGGAGAGTTAGACATATTTTATTCACTTACAGGTGATGAACCTTGAAATGAGTCTCATTCCCTCCCTCACCTTCCCACCTCTATCACTAATGCCTTCTTTATAAAGCTACGCTTTTCAAAGTATCATCTGTTTTCTCTTTTCTTACTCCACCTACCATGTCACCATCTTGTAACTACAAGTTTTTGCTCCCTCAGGAACTGTTACATTCTCATTTTTTCTTGCTCTCTAGCTCCCCTTTCTATGTTCTTCGGACACCTCTCCAAGAGCATATCTGTCCTTCTGGCATGTGCCTTCTTCCTTGACACCTCCATGTGTCTCTCAGGTCTGCAAAACTCATTCCCAATATATACACTCCATGTGGTTTCTGTCCCTTCTGCTGTTTAACCTGGAAGAAGAAACCTTATTCAAAATATCACACAGCCACTCCCTGAGCTTAACAAAACCTACCTCTCTGCATCTGCTACCACTCTCTGGTCCAAAAGCCTGGTCTTCCCACATTCCTATAGCCCAAGGATTGCTTTCTCTTTGCACGGAAACAATCTCTCAGACACTCCCTTGCCAAAACTGTTATCAGCTGGTGAGTTTTCCATGTTAATCTATGACATTTCATGTATTATTGCTATTCCACTGTCCTATTTCTTCAGCTTCTGGGGAGGATCTATTCCTCCCAGGACAAAACTTGCCATGAGCTGTCTGAGCATCTAACATCACTAGTAGCCTCAATCTTTTATTAAGTCTATTTCTTCTAAAGAGCATCTGGGATAAGACTTTTAAAGGTTCCCCCCGACAGTGTAAGTTATATGTCTTTTCAGCCAACGCCACAGGAAGTTTGGAAACTAACAGCTTTGCGACATTGTTACATTCTCCTCATACAAGAGTGGCTTTAGAGACACCACAGATGCACAGAACTGGTTCCACCTTACCTTTGACGTGGCTTCTCCCATCCTCCAACAGTGGTACTACTATAGTGTTGTTCATATTCCCAGGTGATCTCACAGCTGTATAGACAACAGGTACCGACTGTACCACCACGGGGATACGGTGCACGTGACTCATTTTGTTGGACTGCAAGTTCATGGGGCTTGAAGGTGGTACTGGATGGATAATGTGCAAAAACTGCTGGCCTCCAACACCAGATGCAGAGGCCACAAGAGGACCTGGAGTTAATACTGACGGTACAGATGCCGCTGAGGATACTGATGTTATTACTGTGGGTGATGAAGCTGGCCGACTAGAGGAAGTGGAAGTAGAAGAAGGGGAGGAGGCTGATGCTGTCATGGAAACCGGTGAAGATGAAGCTGCTGTAGGGGACGACCTGGCTTTGTTTATTGACAAGTCCACTGGTTCAGTCTGTGTTTGGAAATGGTCTGTAGGTAATGAATCCTCCATGGGGTCTGCCTTCATGTTGTTTAGTAACAAGGGTACAGCTTCCATATCTGGATAGTTGTGGACGTTTGGAGACTGTTGAGGAACAACAAAGGGACATAGTTACATACGTGGCTAAAAATAACTTGTACACCCAATTGCGCACTCAATCACACAACTTGGTCATGAAAGCCACAGGATTTGTTTCCTTTTCTTATGTCAGTTCATAATTTTAAAGGAAAAATCACACTAGGAAGCACAGACGTGTTCAGTTTGAACAGAACATTAAAAAAAGTTCCACTCCCATTTTGTAGAAGCTGGCAGGATTAACTGCACAAAATCACCATGTTTCACTACACTACATCAAGTTGTAAGAGACAAAAATTTTAATATCTCCCCAGGTAGCCACTATTTATGTTCACAAGACATTTCTTCCCAACATCTAACTTTAAGCTACAGAGTTACTCTCTTGTGTCATCTCCAACAGACATGAAGAAAAACTGGTCACCACCATTTTTCAAACAACTTTCTGTATGTTTGAAGACTGTAATTTCCTCCTGCTTGTCTACCTTCTTCTAGACTAGGCAGACCTTGCTTCTTCTTTCTGTCGTTAGACATCTTTAAAAGAACAAGCCTTAGCACTCGTTTGCTCTTTGCAGCAATCTTTGTAGTTTTGCCCACACCACTTTTCAGACCAAAAATGCTAAAGACAGTCTTCCAGTTCAGTGTTTGATTTTTTGCATTCTGCATGGTTCCTGGTAATGAATTTACAGGTCAGTACAGAGCCCCATGTTTGTATGGTTGTCCTGTTACAGGCAGCAACAGCTACACTGATTTGTTATTCTGAATTAGCACAGTAGCTGGTCTTCCCCATTGTTACAATTTTTTTGTTGTTTTTCCATACTAATTAAGAACAATTTTCCTGACTTTGCAAAATAATTTTATGCTTTAGATCAACTCTTTCAAAGCTGCTGGGTCTAAATTTATTCTAGACTGGTGCCACCTGCTATTTTTATAGTTTTATTCCTTATTTCCATCATCAAAGAGGTTAATAGAATTTTTGAATAATGCTAGGCCAAAGACAGATCCCTGGAGAAGCTTATTTGATGTATCTTTCCTTTTTGACAGTACATCATTAATAACTACTCTTTAAAAATGTTTTTTCAAGTAATTTTCAATAGGCAGAGCAAGGAAGGAAATGCCCATCGATAACCTGGTAGTAAGACAAAGCACAGCTCTCGGCTCCTCAGCTAAGTACCTCCTGCACTGCAGCAGAGTTTCTCTACAGGCACACACACGCCATTACGAGCTGTAGTATGGAAAACCAACCTCAACAGAAAACATTTGCCAAGCTACTTCAAACCTCACTTGACCCAAAGCAATTATTCCATACACAAATCTAACAAGCAATCTTTTTATGGTACCTAAGCAGCTCTAAATGCATTCTGAGCGATCTCTAGATTACAGTATTTACTAAGTATCTAAAAATGTTAAGTCGGAAATATTTAAGCCACAAATATTTTAGTTTGTCTACTCTAAATAAGCTAACAATCAAGCAAGCTGTCAATTAATTTGGGGATTTTTATAATGAACTCTCTTAAATATTTTCATGGAGAACCCTCCTGGTTTTGAGTCAGAGCCAAATTTCATCACAGAAAGGAGTTCTATTGCAAAAGGAAAATAGAAACACTAACACTAAAAACTGTAGTAGTAACAGATGAAGTGGATATTATCCCTGGCATGCTGAAAGATGAGATGTTCCAGCAGATCCCACCTATTCAGCTGATTTAGACTGGTTCTTGGATCTGACATTTTCCCTCATTTGAAAGCAAGAATACCTCTGGAACAGTGAGTCTCTTCCTCTATTCACACACAAATCAACTTAAAACAAAGGGACCCCAATTCATTCGGTCCCTGGACCCTGCTATCCTGCTATAATACAGGTTACAAAAGAAAAAAATCCCTTTATAAAGGCAATGGGAAGTTCTCCTAATAAAAAAGAACACAGAGTGAAGAACAGGTCACTTTTCAAAGTGCATAACCAGCTACGAGTCACAAGGTTACAAAAACCTCTTCCTCAAGAAGGCAAAACCACCTGTAACTGCCCAGTGCTGATTCCTGGTAACCTCCTCCGAAACACCTCATCCAGGCTACTGTCAGGAATGGGATTCTGCACCAGGCACGCCTGTGCGCCATGACAAAGGCAAATCCACAAACATACATGGCACAAGGAGTTCATTTGTCAAATGACAAGTCTTACATATGCAATGGTGTGATGGTTTTGACCCACAGTGGGACCATGCGGTCCTGCACTCACTCCCCCCACCCGGTGAGGTGGGATGGGAGGCACAACAAAGGGGGCAGGGGATTAGGAATGAAGGACAGGGACGGCTCACTCACCAGTCATGGTCACAGGCAAAACAGACTCAACTTGGGGAAGAAAAATCAATTCAATTTGTTGCAAATCATCTGAGTAGACATAACAACCACCTCTTACAATACCTTTCCCCACCCTTCTCTTCTTCCTGGGCTCAAATCACTTTGCTCCCGATGTCTCTACCTTCCTCCCCCAGCGGCACAGGGGCAGGGAATGGGGGTGCAGTCAGTTCACCTCTGCTGCTCTTACCGGCATGAAAGGCCAGGAACTGGACTGGGAAGCAAGTTTCCCATGGAGTCATGGACCTCTTTGGGCTCAGCTCCTGGCTCCAGCATGGGGACATCCACGGGCTGAAGACTCACCCCCCACTCTGGGGGTCCACCCTCGCTCTGGCAGCGAACGACTCTCAGGGTCCCAATTCCAGTCACACTTGCCCTCAGGCTCAACTTCTCTGCTCCAGCGTGGAGTCCTCCATGGCCTACACATGGGTACTTGCTCTGCCGTTGAACCTCAATGGGCTGCAGGGGACTTTTGTCTTTTCCTACTCCATATGGTAGAACTGGGTGTGGTTCCTCTGGCAACGAAGCTCTCACTCTGTCTTTCTGATCTTTGCTTAGGCCGATGGTCATCTTTTTTTCAGGTCAATGGCCTCTCCTCCAGGTACCACACCTACTTCTTTTCAGGACAGTCCTTCCCCTCACAAATACGGATTCACAGAGGTGTTTCTCTAGTTCTCATTTTCCCAGCCTGGGCTGGGGGTCTCCGCCTTGGAGCCAGGGGAGCTTTTCACTCTCACAAGGTGGCCCTTCCCCCACTACCAAAACACCACCCCCCTCCAAATGGGAAAACAGACTGGTTCTGTCAAACTAAACAGACTGGTGGCAAGACGGAGGGGGACACCCTGCACAGGCTATACTCAAATCTTCATAAAGCTAAAGGCAACATCTTCTATCTTAAATGTCTGAGAGAAGGGGGATAAATGAGATCAACTCACATACAAGGGAGGTGAGGGATCTTCTTGGGCACATGGCCAGGCAAGGGTCATCTAGAAGCAGTACAAATCGCCAGCTCCATCCACAGGGCAGATAAATGTGCCACAGAGGAAATCCTACATGTTGATGTACTTCCAGGCTTCCCCTGGGTGCCAGAGGCAGATTTCAGGTTGACCCAATGCCGCCTGCCTCACCAGCACAGCGTGTTGCTCTGTGAGCTGAAGGATGGATTAACCTGCTGCTGCTGTCTTCCGCTGCTCTACAGAACACCCTGAAGTGTTCTGAGGGCACCAGGGACTTGATGTACCCAGAGTATGCACGTCAGACCACTCCCAGGAGTCTTCTGACTTCTGGGATACTTCTGAGACTGGATACAAGGGTTCCCCACAGACACCAAAAGCAGTCTATCACCAAACCAACTGAGGGCAGTCTGCCCCAAAGTCCCACCTGTCTTTGCAGCAAGCAGGACCAGGTCTCTTAAAGGAAGAATAAGGAAAAACCCCAAACCCTTATGTATCTGATGCCACACAAAGTACTTGTTCCATGGACAGAGTTATTTATATTTGAGACAAAGAACAGGTCATGATTTACAGATTTTTCTAGACTGTACTAAGAAAAGGCCTTTGTTTTCCTATAGTAATTACACCTAGTCTTTTGGGAATTAAAAAAAAAAAAAAAAGGAAAAAAGTATAACGCAACTGCAGTCTATCATACAAATAACTTCCTCTCTTAACAGCTCTTCTGCATTTACTTCTGCACTGTCCATTCCTTATATTGCACCTACCTTTCAGTAGGTACTCCCTTCCTGTCCAGAGCTGCTGGAGGGGCCATGCAGTCTCTATTGTACCATGGTAAAACAGTTGATACTATTATTTCCATCTTCAGTAGCGAAACTAAACTCGAAACCTTAACAATCCCTTCATGAATTTCTCCAGACAGGATGAAAACTGGTATGTCCTTCAATGACCTCCTTTCCCTGCCAAAACTCTTAAGACTAAGAATGCCCTTTCTTTGGTAAATTCAGGCTGTAACTGATGTCAGTTGACATCACAAAAGACAGCAGGATCCTTATCAAAACAGGTTTGTACAACCCGTGCTTAAGATTAAAACTGTAAACAAGTGTTGTATTTTGTCCTGGTGGTGGTGAAAAAAGACGACAACTCACGCTCCCTTACAGTGACCTACGAGCGGTATAGATGCTTCTCCGTGATCTCAAATTTTATCTAAGCTGCCAAAGCTCTATTCAAACTGTATTTGATCCAAAACTTTGCACACTAAATTATCATTGCCTTCTGAAAAAGGATGGTATATGCAAACCTTCCCCAACGACGATGACTATTCCAGAATTAGGATCTAAGTGACAAAGAGCAGCCAAAAGGGATGGTTGAATTATCAGAACACTATTTCTTAGCATCTTCCCAGAATGTTATTAACTGAGAATTAACTGTTCATTTCCCTAGACAATGAGTGTTACCATTACTTTTATTTAATGGAACCACATCTTTTCTAATTGAGAAGTTCACAATACTACGTCTGGGATATTCAGAGGTATAACTTCAGCCATCCTGTCAGCTCAATAAAGTCAACTGGATGAAAAACAAATGGTTGCGTGTTTTTTCTCCTCTCTATTCCTGCATTTCCATCCTCATCTAGAGAACTGGGCTTCTTGTGGTGATGTGGGCTTGGCTGATTGCTAGTTTGGCCAGTTGAAACAGGTTTTCCCTGTCTGACTCCCAAAAGTGTCTGTGTTGGTTTTGCAAACTTTATTTTGGTTTTAGGGGTCTAAACTCTGTTGTTGAGGGTTCAGTGGCTTCCAGAGCATTTGCTGGGTTAGAAAGGGTTCAGTCTGAGGTTTGTGTAACCAGGTGGGCTGCCCTGGACACCAGCCCAAACCACAGAAATACAACATGAAGGGGTACAGCTCTGCATGGCTTCCCTCAGATCACTGCTCCTGCCCACCAGTACAAAGCAGAGGGACAGCTTCAGCCCTTCCTCCAGAGACAAACTCAGCAATGCCTCTCTCTGCAACTCTGCTGTCACATCCTTATGCTGTTCCACATCCACTCAAATCCAGGTTGAAACAGAACTGGAAGGCAGGTGTGCAGGTTTTGGCTGGGATAGAGTTAATTTTCTTCATAGTAGCTGGTATGGGGCTGTGCTTTGGATTTGTGCTGAAAAGAGTGCTGATGATACAGGGATGTTTTCATTATTGCTGAGCAGGGCTTACACAGAGTCAAGGTCTTTTCTGCTCCTCACACCACCCCCCCAGCGAGTGGGCTGGGGGCGCACAAGAAGCTGGAAGGAGACACATTTGGGAGAGCTGACCCCAACTGACCAAAGGGATATCCCATATCACACACTGTGATGCTTGGCACATAAAGGTGGGGAAGAAGGAAGGAGGGGATGTCCGGAGTGATGGTGTTTGTCTTCCCAAGTAACCGTTACGTGTGATGGAGCCCTGCTTTCCTGGAGATGGCTGAACACCTGCCTGGTGATGGGAAGCAGTGAATGAATTCCTCGTTTTGCTTCGCTTGCACGTGCAGCTTTTGCTGTCCCTGTTAAACTGTCTTTATCTCAGCCCACGAGTTTTCTCACTTTTATCCTTTCGATTCTCCCCCCCCAGTCTCAGCGGGGGGAGTGAGCGAGCAGCTGTGTCGCACTTAGTTGCTGGCTGAGATTAAACCACGACAGCAGGTTAGGACTGCTCCCTGCTAGAAAACGCTTTTTAATAAAGCTGAAACCTCTACTAGTCAGTGCTCTTGGTTCACACTTTTTGTGCCTGCCTTTTAAAGCTGTACACCAGTATTCTCTGCAGTGCTCTGTTTCATTAGCTTGCCATTAATAAATGCTGCCAGGAACATAACAACGTGATTTTCCTGTTCACAAAGCTTTTTTTTGGCTGTGTAAAAAAGCATTCCTTACTGCTTGTTTCCCTGACCACTATGGAAAAACAACCAGCCAGCCACACGACCTTGATTGAAGCATGGTGAAGTTATGGCTAACAAGATGTTACCTACTGGATGGCCATCCTTTCCTCCAGAGTTCTACTTAATCTTCCTTTCCATCTCCTGAACCCCACCTCCTCATAACTTACTGCAGGGTAAATTTTGCAGCAGCCTCTTTCCATTCTCTTCATCTACTCATAGCAATCTTCTCTGTCTACCAGCATTGTCTCTCATCCATGGCCAAGCCACGAAGAGCTCAGTTTCCACACAGTTGAGATTAAAACCAGTGAAAAAGTAAAGAAAGATCATTTTGTTTTCAGCAACTCATCCTGATGCTTTGCACTTCATCAACTTCACAGGGTACTAAGCTTCAGTGAGTCTTTATGCCTGTGTGGAGTTTTATTGCTCCCACACAACAGAGTTTACAAACCTCCAACAAACAGTTGTCAGCTTTGAAAGTGTTCTTCCTTTCTGGCAGCAATCTCCCAAGGTCAAACAATTTGTAAGAAACCATACCAAAAAAGCTGTCCTTGATGACAGAAACTGAACAGACTAAATTTAGCATTTATAAAATAAGCTGGTTTTGAGGACAGGAAGTTAAAAAATAAATTGCTAAATGTTTAACTCTTCAGTCAAATCACACAAACCCCCTTCTTGGTTGTCATTGTGCTGCCCCACCTCATTCTGCTTTGGCAGGAAAAAATTCAGGCTGGATGATTTTGTTTTGTTAGACTTAAGGAGAGTGAGATGTGAAAACTCATACTCTTTTGAAAAGCCATGCACATTTTTAACCATATCATTGTCACTGCCATACCAAAACACCGAGGCTCAGCAGTGCAGGCGTTGCAGTCTTCTGGGCAGGCAGTGCAGAACTGCGCCCAGCTAGAGCAGCTTTCAGCTCTGATCATCGTGCTTGCAGAGTGAAATCTAAAGAACCACAAATATTCTACAAGTTACAGATTTGCTAACACTTCACAGTAAATGAAACATATGCTAGGTTCAAAATGACAAAAAACACTTGCTCTAGCAGAAGTGATTTTGCTTCTGCATAGCACACAGGTGTACTTACATCTCTAATGCCACTAGACAGGCATGCAGGTGGGATCTGGTTTAGGATACAGTGTGTTCATCTTTGGTAAACAATTTGGTTTTTATAATTAAACCAGAATATTTTCCTAATCTGACCTGTAGATAAGGGTAGAAAGCTCATCCCCTCAAAACTGCAATTCTGTGAGTGCCTGCCATGAAGCACATCTGTCTGTACTGGTTTTGTCCTATCACACGCAACTAGGGGCACCTGCAGAGTATGAAAGGTTGGCACAGGGCTAGCTTGGGGAAGTAGCAGCTTGGGCACTTCAAAGATTGCTGTAAGTTATGGTCCAAGTACCCAGCCCTTTACTGAGTCTTTTTTTTTTTTATCTTGCTCATCTAGGAGTGAACTGCCTTTAAAATTATGGGAAGAGATGTTTTTGAAAACACTTTACCATCATGAGAAATTACACCCACAACACTAACACGCTTCCGTCCAAAAATCACCACTTGAATCAAGCCAACAAAATACTCTAAGAAAAGGGAGAAATAATACAATTTGCAAAAAAATGAACTGAACTAGCTGAAACATTCTGCTATCCCCCTGATGAGACATTCAAGACTCAACTATGCTCACTTTGAGATGCGGTTGTCACATTAATCTGTACATGAGGGGTACACCAGTCCAGCGGTAACAGATGGCTGTATAAAATCAGAAGGGCAAACACATAGATAACTGAGATCTGAAACTCAGAAAAAATACTTTAAAAATTGTTTCTGAATGCAAAAGCACCAAGCAAACTGGCTTTTGTGCCTTTTTGCTCGAGGCTGCTGCTGCAGGCTGACAGAACCGCTCAGCTTGGATTCACTGGACAAATGCAGGAGGTCACACTGAAGAAGAAAGCAAAATGCAAGGCAGCTGGATCTTTCTCCTTTTTTTCTGGAAGCATAAATTAAAAACTGGCTTACTATCAGTTTTCAATAAATGGTTGCTCAAGGTCAAGGTTAAATTTGTGTTCCAAGGAAGAAGAGAGATCCTCAAAAGACAGCACTTCCAAGTCAGGTTGAATAAGACTCTCTTACAACTCCCATTGAAGCTTTTTTCTAAAAAGCACCAGTTGGCACCAAGAAACACAGAGGGTAGAGCCCAAGAATTATTAAAATAAAAAGACATTCAATGAAAATGCATTTAAACAAATTTGAATCGATTCAACAGGAGAGACTGCGAGATACCCACTTTAAAGTACTCGTGATTCACTTAATGTATCATTATCTCTGCCTAACATTTGGATGTTTGATTTCAAAGTGGATGTTTCCAACCCACAAGGCCTAAAAATAAAATTTCTATTCTCTTTGTGAAGAAGAAAAAGAAACTCAGTACATGCTATGAGGTGCAGGTGGCCTTTGTTAGCAGAGTGTTGCATTTAGTGTAGAACCTACGGAAGATATCCTAAAATAAAATAGAATTAATTAAGAGCTGGAGAGATCAAATTCAAACTAACCATTCATATACAGCGAAGCAAAATTCAAGCCCCAGGTCTGTAAAAATTATCTTTTAAGTCTTCCTGAACAGTCACACTACGGTGTCATTTCACAACTGCTTCAACAATAAAAAAGTACCATGTGCTGTAACCTTTAGTAACAGCTCAAACTAGGACTGGGGAAAAGTGCTTCAAAATGAAAGGAGATCCCTATGCAAACAGCATTAGCTTTTAAACATGTTTAGCAATGAACACAAATAGATCTAGTGTGAAATAAATTGTTTAAAAATAATACATTTGCAAAGACAGAGTGAGCATTAAGGTTACTTGGCATTTAACTCTCCTGCCCCAAAACTGACACGTTTACCAAAGGGCTTCTCCAGTAGCACAGAGAGAGAACAAGTGATCACAGATTTCTACAGCCCAACAAACTCATCAGCTCCTGTACTATCTGGTACATTAAATGTAATAAATGTACAAGGCCGAATTCTCAGTATCTCAAACGCTGTGTGGGCCTGCTGGGATTTTTCTGAAAAGCAACAAAATCCATCCCCTTAATTGCTAAAGCATTAACACATTCAGAAAAGTAACTGTTCAGCACAGATGTATTATTTATATTTGAGCAATGTTACTAGAAAGCTTTATCAAAGGAAGAATTTGTTGAAAGAAACTAATTTACGCCCATCACGATGACACAACTCTTCAAGAGAAATGAGTCTAACAAAGGTGTGGAACAACAGTACCATAAAACATTGCTTGCAGTATTACCTGCTTCAGCTTATAAAGAATACTGATAATATATTTGCATTTCTTGTACTAATCCATTTCAGATTTGAGAATAATTTATAAACAAATGGCAGATCCCTAAGTAACTCTTAAAGGGGAGGTAAAATACCATGGGAAAAATATCTTATTGCCCCCAATTCAGAAGTATTCTTGAGATTTAAAAAAAATGTTAGTTTATAAAATCCCAGACAAGAAGAATTTCACAGATCCACTTAGAAGCTTTCACAAGTTTTTCCATCATGTTTTGGGGGTAATTCTTCCCTTTTTAAATTCATAGAATCATTTTGGCTGGGAAAGACCTTTAAGATCATCGAGTCCAACCAAGAGCCTAACACAACCAAGTCCACCATAAAACCATGTCTCCAAGAGCCACATCTACATGCCTTTCAAATAACTCCAGGGATGGTGACTCAATCATTTCCCTGGGCAGCCTGTTCCAATACCCGACAGCCCTTTTGGTGAAGAATTTATTTCCTAATATCCAATCTAAATCTCCCCTGGCGCAACTTGAGGCTGTTTCCTCTCACCCTATCATTTGCTACCTGGGAAATATACTGACACCCACCTCGTTACAACCTCCTTCCAGGTAGTTGCAGAGAGTGATAAGGTTTCCTCTTAGTTCTTTATTTTCTCTAGTCCAATTTTAAATCAGAATCTTTCAATTTAGTTTATCCAAAGACTATGCATCGAAGAGTACTATAAGGTAAATCAGATCCCATGAGTTAATAAATTTAAGTCCTTGATGTTTACATTAGAAAATAATAAGAAAAAATGTATTAGACATACACTGGGATTTCAAAATTAATTTAGTTTTGTCAATCTAGACTAGTTCCTCAGCCTAAGATGGAATACATCAGGAACCTTCTGCAAGAACCTACCAAGCAGGTTTGCAGATAGAGGTCCACCAAACTTGCAAGGCTCAGTGGAAGTAATTTTTTTTAAAAAAGTACTCAGCAGTATTTACATTTCTAGTTGACAGTATTCAAATTATATTCTAAGATTTATTCTTATCTAACGTGGAAGCATTCAATGTTTGCACACAAATCAAATGGCACTGAAAAACAATGAAAGCCTGAAGAATAATTTGCAGCCAACAGTTTACTGAAGATCCACAAGTTAAAATTTTGATACAAAGACTTAGTAAATATTTTCTTACTCTGTATGTCGTTACAGAATATTCATAAATGTATTAGCAAAAAAGGATGAGAACACATAATGCAAGAAACTATTATTTAAACCTTTTAACCGCCTGCAAGCTGTTGCCCAGCTCCAGGCAAAACTCAGCCATGTCCCCATCAGCCTTGGAGCTCAGCACTTCTAAACTCATCTTGGCCACTCCTCGGGCAAGCGCTGCTAGATACCACAAGGGGACTCTGGGCACCTGGTAAGTACAGTTAGTGTGAAAAGGGCATAAAAGACTGGGCAGTTAAATCTTGTAAACTGCTCCTCATGACTCGGTCTGGCTCGCGTGTCCTCTGAAGTATGAAGATACCCATGAACTCCTTCATTAATTCTCGGGCTATCTGATAAATGCATCAGGAATGGTGGTGGAGGTGCCATGCTTGAAACTCACATCTAGCATGTTATCCATACATTGCAAGTGGGTTTTTCTCTGTTTCTCCCCACTTGTCTTTGTTCATCTTAATTTCCACCAGAAGGATTCATTTTTCTAAATGAATCTCCTTCTTCTGTTTACTGTCCTTCACACTTAAATTTGCTTTGTTCTTCTGATCTCTCAATTGAGATTGCATCTCAGTTTCAGCACACTTTACTAAAATAAATACATTGAGTAGAACTGACTCTAGTTGGGTCTGACTGAAATTAAGCCTTTCAGTAGTTTGGGGGAGGAAAAAAGATTCACTTCAGAGATAAAAAGTTTAAATAAGTTTTTACTGAAAATAGCATTTTCCAGTGTCTGTTCCTTGAACAGGTTTCCAGGACACCTACCCCAGAACTGTCTGTTTTAGTAAAACAAATATGCCCGGTACCGTTCACTGACACCGAGGGGCCACAGCCTGAATTCGTACAGCCAAAACCTCCCATTGTGGCTCTGCCTCAGGCTCACTAAACCAGACAAACTCCCTCTAACCCCCTGAAGTCCTCCTCCTGCTTCCCACTGCCACCCTTCCTCTAGAACAGGGCAGCACCAAGGAAGACATCAGCTGACCTCAAAGAACGAAAGAGAGACAAATTTGGGAGAAGAGTAACACTGGCTGGAAAAAAGCCTTGCAGAGGCAGACAAAATGCAGAGACTGGGTCTGGTGCTGTCTGAAAGAGGAAACTGATGGCAAGTCCTGGCTGGGAAGGCTGGGATGCCATCAGCAAAGAGACCAGGCTGCCAAGGGGTGATGGGAGGTGCGTCTGCAAATTAAGGAAATTAGGCATTTTAAATCCTAAGCAAGCCATTAGGTCACCTAATGTCACCTCAGATGCAAGTGGGAGGACTATGAGATGAAGATGAGGGTGGGAAGAAAATGGTGCCATATCTCTGTGTAGTGGGGTTGGCTGGGAAGGCCGAGGGCCTTGGCTGGATGCAAGGAAGAGCATCCCATCCTGAAGGATAGGAGATGGGTCAAGCTTGGAGTGACCAGACAAAAGAGTTTGTGCCAAGTAAAGCAAAATACCCTGCCAGCGCCTGGCATAGGACCCGAAGCCGCTGAGGTTCACCATTCCTCTGCTGTCAGCAGATATCCCTGAACTCACTGGTGAAACATCCCGTCCCTCCGCAACACCCATCCACAAAAAATGAAGTCAAGAAGTGCATATTGCAGTAAT